GCTGATGCTCCAAGACTATGACTAATAACTTCAGTTATATTATGGTTTTCATCAAGTATATCACTAATATCTCTATACCTTTCACTGTATGAACTTAAACCAAATGGAATTGTAATATCGCGTAAAATAACATTAATATTTGATTTAATATTTTTACCAAATGTCCCAGCAACATATAATTTATTGCCATCAATAAAGAAACCTTTACCGTTTGTATATGCTTTGTTTAATCCTTCTGCGTCAGGTAAATTATTATTATATTTAGGTTTGAATAATGATTTTCTTGTTGAATTTCATTAATTATTTTTCTATACATTTCACTATGACCTTGATGTAGTGGATTATATGGTTTTAAACCGCCTTCTTTTAAATAAAGCATATATGTATTTTTCATTATATTAATTACTGATAATTTTTATCCAATTAATTAATATAATGAGATTTCGTAAAATATATATCAACAGTGCTTATCGTGATTTAAATGACAGTCAATCTACATCAGATATTGTTATTCATTTAAGAGAGCAACAAGAATGCGGACCAAATACTAAAATGATTTGTCACGAAGTATCTATCGCTAATTCATTTTATCCAATTGAAGATAATTTCAATAACAGATTATATTTAACATTAGGAGGGATATTAATAGGAGCACCAGTATATTATTTTATTGTAGCACCTGATAAAGGTAGTTATGTAGGTAGTGAATTAGCAACCGAATTACAAAATAAATTGAACACTGCAACCAATGGGACCGATGGAAACAGTAATTTTTTTTACTTGTAGTTATTCATTAAAAACTAATACTATAACTATAAGTTGTAATTATATTTCTTATTTTTTTATAATCCACACAGATAAAGAATTACAAACTAATTATAGTTTTGGTGTTGATTATGATAGAGATTATCCTAATAGTATTAATGACATTTTAGGAAATACTACTGAAAAAATAAATACTACTGCAGACCCGTTTGTTATTGGATTTATATCATTTTTACCCGTTAAAAATATTTATATTCATTGTAATGAATTAAGTAACGGAAACCAGTTATGTAGTTTTGGTACTTCATCAATAATAAAGAAGGTGCCCGTTCTGACCTCATTCGGGAACCTCATATATGATAATGAACTGGTTTTAAATGATGCTAATGATGTGAGTACGCGGTCGTTGAACAGACTTCATTTTAGATTTACTGATGCATCAGGTAGAGTTTTAAATATGAATGGGACAACATCTTCATTCTCTTTAACATTTTTTGAGGGTTAGAAAAGTATTTAATATGTATTTCCATATAAATAATTATATATAGAAATAGATGTAGATGAAAGACATAGCAGTTGTTGATGTAAATGAAGGCGATAAACAACTTGAACCAATTGAAGAGAAAACAGAAGAGACAACAGAAGAGAAAACACAAGAGAAAACAGAAGAGAAAACAGAAGAACCAAGGGAGGAGGTGCAAGAAATTACAGAAGCACCTAAACCAAAGAAAGCAAAAAAAAACAAGACAAGTGAATATTGAAAGAGTTGTATGTCCTGATTGTAAAGTAGAGGTGAGTAAGAAATCGTTAAAATATTCTCACGTGTGCAAAGGAGAACGTAAAAAAGATGTTGATTTAAATAAACCAGTTAAACGACGTGTCTTAAATCCAGAACAAGCAAATGAGTTTAAAAATGATGTATATGAAAAAGTAAAGAAAGATATTCCAAAAGTGGATGAAGACGAAATAGAGAAACGTGTAGAGGAGAGACTGAAACAAAGAATAGAAGAAACAGCTAATAAAGTATTTGAAACCGCAAAAGATAGATATATTAATATGAAACAGCAGAAGATGGAAAAGAAACAAGAACATATTAATAAATTAGTATCAAAAATTATATGATAAATATAATTTATAATCTAATTAAGTTATATAGTGCTTTCTAATAGAAATGAGTTTGAAAATATAACATCAACACTTACAAAGAATGGCAAAGCAGGTAAATTACCAACATCAAACAAATTTTTTAATCCCATAACAAAACCAAGTAAAAAATATAAATCTAATGTCCATTACTATTACGATGGAGACAACAAAGCACACCAACCAAACTATACATATCTGAAAGAAATGAAGGAACAGTTAGAATTTCATAACGCTAAAAAAGATTACGCTATATTTCAAAATAGAAGAAGATATCAAGATGAAGCACAGGCGTATTTTAACGAAATCCAAAGGTTGGAAGGTGAAAAAATAGGACATCATCCATCAAGTGAAACAGGTAAAACCTATTCTGAAATGATTAAGAAGAAAAAGGATATAATCAATCAATTAAGAAAGAATTTTAAGTTTGAATAAATTAATTAGATTAATAACTTTATAATCTAATTAATTACATATAATGAGATTAGACAACACACAGATGAAAACGCTAAAATCACAATTCAGATTAAGACCGTCTTATAATGAACTCATCAAGGAAATTACAGAGGAAGAATATAAAAATAAGAATATAAGAGATGTAATAGACAGAAACGCTTATTATTTTCGCGACAGTCCGTTAGGAACAGTTTATGATAATAATACCGTAGATTTGAACCCGTTGAACAGTTTGATATGACAAGGGACGATGAAATGGATGATTTAAGAGACGGAGCAATACAAACACTAACTGCCACAATGGACAACGCCGAGGAACAACACGAACAACAAATTAGTCAAGTTTCAAAAAGAGTTAGTAGCGAACAAATAGCCGACCTACATGAACGAGCACAACGGGCAAGACAATTAGACGAGAAAGATGAGTGGCAGTCAGTAGCAACTGATAAATCAAGCGATGATGACTTACCACCGTTAGAACCGATTATGACAGAAGACGAAGCAGTTAAACGGATACAAGGGGCGCAAAGAGGTTTATTGTTAAGGCAGAAAGTAAGACGAGATGATGACCCAGAAAGCACACACGAACCAAAGGGAAGAAGAGGAAGACCGAGAAACATCCAACCTATGCCAAAACCAAGAGCAACAAAAGACTAGTTGAAGTTATTACAACATCTAAATCATTTTACATAATTTATCAACAATTATATAAAATGATTAACAATCTCAAACACGAGTTAAGGAAACGCCCTACTTATGATGAAATGCTGAAACAAGCAAGAACAAGCAAAATAAAAACAACAGTTATATTGAAGAAATACAAGAAAGGAATGTTTTTGAATAATTTTGATTTTGATGAACTAGATTTAATGAATTGTAAAAATAAAGAACGATATATGAACGCAGAAGTTATGATGGCAGACAAGGCAACGCAAACACTTAACAAAGAAAACAAGGCAACACAAACAGACCTACCACAAGATAAGGCGACACAAACGTATAATTTTGATGATGAGACAAAGATTTTAGGTGGGTCTTCGAAGAAGTTTAAGAGCAATCTAACGAACAAGGCAGAAGCAGAAGCACTAGCATTTACATACGACCCTGATTTATATGATGATGACGATGATGATGATGATGATGATGATAAAAAAGATGATGATAATGATAAATACAGAAAGAAACTATTTATGTTGATGAGGATTATAGATTTGATGTTGAGGTCAGGTTTTAGTATAGGACAAATCGTAGCACATTTAACATATCACACTACATTAACTACAATTCAAGGTTCAGAGTTGCTGGTTAATTTGACAATGAATTCATTAGTAACATCTTATGATTTAGCAAGTGCCATAATGAATTGGTTGAATACAAATGTTAGTGAGGAAGTTGAGTTAAATACTTCGCCTCCTATCAGTGTTCATAGTTCTCCGCCTATCACTGTTAATAGTTCTTCAACGCATACTGTTAATTCATCATCCTCAGAAGAAAATCCTAATTATGAAATAGCCCTGCCTACCGACATCCCTGTTCCTACCGGTGTGGATGGTGACGAGTCTGAAAGTGAAAATGACGAAGATAAGGATAAAGAAAAAGACAATCTAAAATAATATTATTTTTCATTAAAATAATATTATTTTCAATTAGCGACAGCAACCATCGCATATTCATGCTTGTATTTCCTGCTATGGTGATACTTTGGTTTCTCTTCATCTTCTTCTCCTTTTTCCTTCTTCTCCATTGCTTCTCTCTCCGTTTTCTTTTTGTGATACAATGCTTTCCTTGTTATTCTTTTTCTCGCCCTCACATTATCAATATATTCGGGGTCTTCTTCCTTTCTTTTATGATAATACAGTCGGCAATATAAAGCCATTTGTTCTTTGATTTCTGCCAATGTCATATCTTCTGGTTTCTTTTGCGTGGTCATTTTATTTTAATATTATAAGATAATATGTCTTTAAGACTGTTTGAAGCAGTGCGCTTTAATTAAAGTTTATGACAAAAGCGTTTAAAGAGTTAGTAATTTAATATATTATAATATAATTATAAATATGACTAAATTAAAGGACCGGATAACCCCACATGCTATGTTTTTCCCAAGGATGTGAGTTCAAATGTCCACACACATGTACCGTGCGCAAGTGGTTGTGCTGCAAGCTTGTGGCAGGGCTCATGAACATCGCGGAGACAACTAGCATGCGTTCTGTCACCTCATCCCGCAAACAACTGCGCGAACCTTTTTTTACCTTTCTTGCTGCGCTGACCTTGGCTCGGGCGCAGCTCATGCCACACTGACTGTCAGTCCCGGCAGCAATGCTTCGTGCGGACGCGTCGCGTCTGTTTTTCGCCAGCTGCGTAATGACGACACTGAACAAGCTCGGTAAACTTCTCAATCCGAGTTGCGTGGCTCAAACTGAAGAATCTCGATGCGTGGCTCGACATGCTATTTGCAGCAGCTAACGGCCAACATATTGCTTCAAGGTTAGCTACTGGTTTTGCCAAGCAGAGCCACGCTTCAAAGGATTCGGACAACATTTCGCTGTGATAGCTGCGTCATGCTTCTCATTCCGAGTCGCGCGGCGCCCAAAAATGCAATCACAGCAGCTAGTGTCGAACATTGTTTCATGCCTGCTCTAGCACTGGTCTTGCCAAGCAGAGCTCGTCTTAAAAGGGGTTGGCATGCTGTCTCGCAGCGTGCGCACTCGCTTACCGGGAGTCCACTCACTGGCATAGCTCAGAGCAGCAGCCGCCGTCTGCTTGGAGATGATGTGAGAGTAGTACGCGTTGACAGCCAGCACCGCCTTCTCGTGAACCTCCACGTGCCAGAGGACAGACCACTCATTCTCCGCGTCGGCTTGCATGATGACCACTTGGTGGACTTCACCTGGCCGTGCTCGGAGGATCCAATTCACTGCAGACGCAGGGCCTGCTGCTCGGATTTTGCTCCGGAAAGGCAAGAGGGTTTCAGCGTCGGGCACTGACAAGCAGCAGTCCACCGAGCGCTTGACTCGCATGGCCGATGCAGATTGCGGGTCTTGCTGCAGAGACTCATCATCTGGCAGCTGGACTTCGTTGAACATGACGAGCGCTCGCACAGACGGAGCGTCGATCTCTTGAATCGTCAAAGAGCCCAAGTCTGTGTCCACGCGTAAGTCGCGCAAAGCAGCAACCGGGCAGCCGCCGCCCAGAGAGCAGCGTGGAAGCTCCAGCATGTGGGGCGTCAGGTCCGGGCAGTCCTGGTTGAAGGGCAGGAAAGGCGTCAGATGGCGACACTCCAACTCCAGTATCTGCTGGTAGTCGTTCTCCCGAAAGGTGACTTTGCAAGTCCACAGTGCGCTCCGGAATGCGTTTCGCACTTCGGACCGCAGCTCTGCAGTGTCTTTGCAAGGATTCGGCAGCGAGTAACCCTGCTCCTGCAAGGCCAACTCGACGTGGTCGTGGTAGAGCACCATGCTGCACTGGCAGTCGCTATCCGCGAACACAGCGCGCAGGGCCACGCGCTTCTCTTCAGCAGCATCTGGATGTGCCTGCACAAAAGCTTGACAGATTTAATTTTTCATGCTGAATGACATTAATCAGAACATCCTGATTGACATTTCTGCGTGCCTGGCAAGGGAAAGCTCTCTTGCACGTGCTGCAGCTGGACAAGATCCACTCGTCCGTTTCGGACTTGACCGAGCTCAAGCCCATGATCTGCAGTCCGGAGACGAGGAACACAGTGTCCACCTTTCGCAACTGCCCGGGGACAATCGTGCCCACGAGCGCGCTCAATGTGCTCTGCACTGCCTCGCATTCCTTCCAATTCCTGGTCGGAATGAGAGTGAGCATGCGGCAGTCGCCAGGCTCCATGATGCGCTCTCCAATGTTCTTGGCAAGCTCTTCAGGGCACTCCAGAATTTGAGTGCCTCGCCAGCTGCCAATCTCCCATGATCCTTCCTTTTTCTTCTCCACCAACACTTGGTAGAGCAGGATGCAGGTTCCAGCCTGGCAGGTCGCGAGCTTTTCAGCGTGCTCCCTCCAGAAAGCGCACCGCACTCGAACGCTTCTGCTGCACGATGGCATTGCAGACCAGAACGCGGCCTTGGACGGTGTCCCTCTCGATCGCGCCCGGGTTGTCGTCCACTTGCGCGGCCACACAGATCTGCTGTCGGTCTTTCACGCGAGCCAGCGACTGCAGTGGCACCAAAGGATGATGAGCAGGGACGCCGCTCCAGGGCAAGCTCTCCAACTTTTGGACCAACACCTGCGTACCCAACGACTTCGGCAATGGCATCTCCACACCCAGATGCACAGAATGCAGCGCCTGCCACGACTTCGGCAACGGCATCGCCAAAGTGCTGCGCCTGCCACGATTTCGCACGCCCCCCGCCGCGCGCGCGACAACATCCTGTCCCTCTAGACAGCTGCCGAATGCGACCCCTGCCACACAAACACACACCCAGATGCACAGAATGCTGCGCCTGCCACGACTTCGGCAACGGCATCGCCAAAGTGCTGCGCCTGCCACGATTTCGCACGCCCCCCCCGCCGCGCTCGCGCCAACATCCTGTCCCCTGGCACACAAACACACACCCAGATGCACAGAATGCTGCGCCTGCCACGACTTCGGCAACGGCATCGCCAAAGTGCTGCGCCTGCCACGATTTCGCAACGGCATCGCCAAAGTGCTGCGCCTGCCACGAGTTCGCACACCCCCCGCCGCGCGCGCGACAACATCCTGTCCCTCTAGACAGCTGCCGAATGCGACCCCTGCCACACAAACACACACCCAGATGCACAGAATGCTGCGCCTGCCACGACTTCGGCAACGGCATCGCCAAAGTGCTGCGCCTGCCACGATTTCGCAACGGCATCGCAAAAGTGCTGCGCCTGCCACGATTTCGCAACGGCATCGCAAGATGCTGCGCCTGCCAACGAAATTCTCACGCCCCCCGCCGCGCGCGGCGACAACATCCTTTTCCCCTAGACAGCTGCCTAAATGCGACCCCGGCCAACAAACACACACCACAGATGCCACCGAAATGCTGCGCCTGCCACGATTCCGCAACGGCATCGCCAAAGTGCTGCGCCTGCCACGATTTCGCACACCCCCCGCCGCGCGCGCGACAACATCCTGTCCCTCTAGACAGCTGCCGAATGCGACCCCGGCCACACAAACACACACCCAGATGCACAGAATGCTGCGCCTGCCACGACTTCGGCAACGGCATCGCCAAAGTGCTGCGCCTGCCACGATTTCGCAACGGCATCGCCAAAGTGCTGCGCCTGCCACGATTTCGCACGCCCCCCGCCGCGCGCGCGACAACATCCTGTCCCTCTAGACAGCTGCCGAATGCGACCCCTGCCACACAAACACACACCCAGATGCACAGAATGCTGCGCCTGCCACGACTTCGGCAACGGCATCGCCAAAGTGCTGCGCCTGCCACGATTTCGCAACGGCATCGCCAAAGTGCTGCGCCTGCCACGATTTCGCACGCCCCCCGCCGCGCGCGCGACAACATCCTGTCCCTCTAGACAGCTGCCGAATGCGACCCCTGCCACACAAACACACACCCAGATGCACAGAATGCTGCGCCTGCCACGACTTCGGCAACGGCATCGCCAAAGTGCTGCGCCTGCCACGATTTCGCAACGGCATCGCCAAAGTGCTGCGCCTGCCACGATTTCGCACTCCCCCCGCCGCGCGCGCGACAACATCCTGTCCCTCTAGACAGCTGCCGAATGCGACCCCTGCCACACAAACACACACCCAGATGCACAGAATGCTGCGCCTGCCACGACTTCGGCAACGGCATCGCCAAAGTGCTGCGCCTGCCACGATTTCGCAACGGCATCGCCAAAGTGCTGCGCCTGCCACCATTTCGCACGCCCCCCGCCGCGCGCGCGACAACATCCTGTCCCTCTAGTGAGTGTGAGTGAGTGAGTGTGAGTGAGTGAGTGAGTGAGCGAGTGAGTGAGTGAGTGAGTGAATGAGAGTGAGTGAATGAGAGTGAGTGTGAGTGAGTGAGTGTGAGTGAGCGTGAGTGAGTGAGTGTGAGTGAGCGTGAGTGAGTGAGTGTGAGTGAGTGTGAGTGAGTGAGTGTGAGTGAGTGTGAGTGAGTGAGTGTGAGTGAGTGTGAGTGACTGAGTGAGTGAGTGAGTGAGCGAGTGTGAGTGAGTGAGTGTGAGTTGAGTGAGTGTGAGTTGAGTGAGTGAGAGTGAGTGAGTGAGTGAGACGGAGACGAGCGGGAGGAGGAGGAGGAGGAGACGCGGCGCGCGGACGACGAGCGGAAAAAGTAAGAACCCCACACAAAGATGTGGGGAAAAAACATCAGAGTATATTTACAGAACCTGCGAAACAAAAATCAACAAAATCGTTGATTTGTATGAAGACCGCAAGATTTCACAATACGGAACCGCAATGAACCTGATAAAGGACATCAGTCAGACCGACGCAAGAAGCGAGAGAAAGAACGGATTAAAGAAATACGAAAAGGCAATGGCAAAGTATGAAGAGGCAGAACCAATAACTGAAAGGATGGCAAAAACAGCAAAAAAGGCAAGAACCGGCAAAGAAGTGAAAGCGGTTGTAAAAAAACACGACAAACAACCTATTTTTAGAAGAAAGGCATTGGCAGGGTTAGCAAGTAAAGCAAAGGAGTTATACAAGAACAGAAAAACTTATGATGTGAAATTTATGTTGTTTTCTATTGTTGATAGGGACGGAGCAAAGAGACCAGCATTTAAGTTAGATGGCGTATCATACTATCCAATCATGCTTAAACCAAAGAGCAGTAATAGAAGAGCGGAAGGTGAAGCCAATGCGAAAGCTAATCAGTTCATTGAAACCTTAGTCAGTAGAAAAATAAGGAAATACAACGAAGATGAAAAGCATTTATTCAGAAAAGTTATGTTGATCATGAATACCAGTAGCGAATTTCAAGAGTTAGGGCATATGATAGACTATGCTGATGCAATTAGAATTGAAAGCGTTGAGCTGGTTGATATTGACACCGCAGACTTTGATGAGAGAGATGAACCGTTAAGACAGAGCGGTCAAAATGTAAGCGTCTATTACAGATACATTCAAACCCAAGTAGATACCGAAGCACTGACTATAAAACAGGCATTACAGAAAAAGAATTACAAAGAAAATGAATGTTGGATTAATGCATTACTAGAAAACTTTGAAGGGTCAAATTAAATAAAAGAGAAACATAAACATAATGCCAAAACATTAACCAGAAATAAAGTGCTTGAACTGCTTGAAATGAATGAAGAAGAATTCATTAACAACGGGGCTTCTGTAAATCAAATGGACAAGGTATTTAAGTTTTTCCATATTCCAGTTAGACTATATAATTTCATAGGAAATCTAATTTATGAGTATAACCCTAACAACTACTTAAATGGCAAAGTAAAAATGTTCAGGGGATTAGTTAAAAACAATCGTATTTATTTGTTAAACCACGATTTGGACACACTGCGCCAAAAAACACCAAATGCCACGTTCAAAGCACCAACAACAGGCAAATTTTATATCTCTTGAAGACAAAATGTTTAGCAATGTAGATGAGCTACTCCCAATGAGAGAGCAGGATGAATACGCACTCGTTCATTCTGAAAATGATATGGTAAAGGTCTTCCATCAACTCAATGATGCGGGATATAAGCCTTATATCAAATATGGCAATTCAACAACATATAACAATATTGTTAAGGCAATGTTTAAATTACAAAAAGGAATGTTTAAACAAAACCATTTATCATATTGCAATGATGTTGATATACAGATATTGAAAGACTGTAAAACAATTTTCCCCATTGGTAGGATGCCTTGCACCCCAGCGCTCGGGCAACAAAATTGCCCAAGCGGTTATTTTATCAAAGGTGTAGCAAGTAACAATTTATGCGAGATTGACATTAGAAAGGCTTTTACGCACGCTGGATGCTGTATTAAATACATACCTAGATTTACAGAGTTTGATATTTTCAAACCTTTTAAGAATGAGTGTGATGTCAATGAGTTAAACAGTTTGACTTTATACATTGTGGAAGTGTATGAGGGCAACATCTTTTTCAGTAAAAAATATAACTTGGTGTATGGAAAGTTTTTAAAACATTTAATTAAACATAATGTAAAATTAAAAATATTATGGTATAAGCAACCTAACCATGTGTATAAAGTAAATTACAACAAACTAATTGATGAACTGTATGATACAAAACTGTCTGATAACGAAGACCTGAATAAGCAACTCCATAAGAAAATAGTTAACATTAGCGCTGGTATGCTTGAAAAATCGCATAACACTTCGCAAAAAAGCAGTGTGTTTAGTTCATTGAAAGAAGCCTGTTACTACCATAGCCTATATCCAAACAGTAAAATATATACAATCAGCAAGCGCCAATTGGAATTGGTAGAAGTAGATGAAGATAGCTCTCAATTAGAAGAATCTCCTGTCGGTGAAACATACTATGTGTTGAATGTTGCTGACAAAAAAGTTTTAACTAACGGATTTATCTATATCAAAGAATTGCTATTACAATATCATAATTTCAAAATGTATGAAGCTTACAAAACAATGACTGGTAATAATGTCAAGGTGTATAGTGTTAAAACAGATGCCTTCACTATTCATGAAGATGATTTAGATAAAGTTTTTCGTTTTCAATTATTTGGAAGAAGCAATGGACTGCTGAAATGTGGTAATGAGATAGGAGATTGGAGGATAGAAGATAAAAAACATATCCAACTACCCACCAACTCATATACATATAAATATAATGAAGTTCCGGAAATACCTAAAATCAAAAATTTCAATATTCCTATTCAAGATGAATGGAATACAGAAGAAATATGTAAGAAGATTATTAAACAAAGCCCAGTGATTATAAAAGGTAAATTCCCGGGCACTGGCAAAAGTTATATTGGCGAATACTTTCAAAAGATGAGTAAGAATGTTTTATTTGTAGTTCCAACTAACCGGCTTTTACAAGAAAAAGAAGTAGAAGCCACCACTTACAATAAGTTTTTAGCATTGCCGTTCATGAAGATGTCGGAGAGAAATTGCCACAGT